CAAGTTATGTACCCGGTCAAAGATACAAATAGCTCGAGGGTAAGGTCTTTAAGTCCTGACCCAAATGTTTGCGATTCGAGTCTTGACAGGGTACAAAAGGTATGCCCTGCTGACGAGTCCCAAACGGGACGAAACATCTGTCAAGTGCTCTTGGTCGGCCATCATAAATCTTTCCATCGCTCATAAACAGAAACCCGTTAGGCACCTGGCTGATCAAGCTGATGGAGGGGAATTATTGTCTGAATTGTTTCTAAAATCCCATGGCGAACAACTGCTAGCACCTTGACGCTGACCACGGTTTGGCCAAACCAATCGTTCTTCTGAATGCAATAACAGTGCTCTTGAAACTATTCAGTCAATCATGAATTGAGAAATATCAATGATAAATACACTCACCTGGGTTTAAAACAAATACTATTATTTGATTAACAGTAGCTAGAACTATCGGGAAAGACAGCAGAAAGACACCTTTGATGGAAAGAGATTCAGCTGGGTATGCGAACTCAGATGACTGCGATGATTTCATCCTGATGAGGATGCTTCCTAAAATGGAAGGGACGATTCTATGCATACAAAGATTTTTCGATCATTTACTCTAAACGGGAGTAATGACACTACCTAGATGGTGACCCTCTGGTTCCATCCATTTTGGAAGACATTTGTTTGATCGGGACCGTAGTCAATAAAGATAATATGTTAATGCATAACTCAATGAGCAAACGTCAGTCTGGATTTGTTGTCTCCAAATATGCATCTAACCGTTTTCGTTTCGAAAATGACCCAGTGATCTATTCACATGAATACCTAACGAAACATTACACTGCAACGGTAGCATACGTTGACAAGCAAATGTGATCATCTATGTAGTTGGGAAATACCTCACTTATGCGATGAAAGTATCTAACAACAATGGTGAAACTTGGTTTTGCTCAGCTCCGTTATATACATGGACCAATTTCGAGTATGTTTTCCAGTGAGGTTAATTTGACCATGACAACTTCAGATTCAAATTTTAGGATAACGAGAGGAGTTTACCTGCTGGTGGTCCTGGCAATGAAATGTTTCGTCTGTGGACGAATTTCGCTTCTTCTGACATCCCGCAATGGTTGTTCCAAACCAGTAGTTCACGAATGCGCCGTGGTGGATTATTTTCCAATTACCGCCGTTCAATAATTACTTGTTTGCTACCATCAGCAGTTTTATACAGTGATGATCGGACCCTCTCTCCTTAATGTTACTTTCATATATCGATCCAAAAGGTTGAATGTTTAAACTCCCAGATTGAAAATGGTCCAATGAATAGAGGATGACCTATCCTCAAAATCCGGAAGGCTACAAGGAGAAATACTCAAAGTATATTTGACCATGTGTACCTTTATAAGCGGTGTTTTAAAAAAGATTAATAATTAAAATCCATCATTTTCGCTGAATACAATGGTTACAATGTGGTTTGAAAAGTTAGAAAACAAAAAAAAGATTTACCATACAAACCAATGAGGAAGAAAGTTCTAGGCAGTAAGAATAGAGTGAAGTTCACCGAGAAACCTTCTCTTTGGACGTTTTCAAGCGAGATAATTACGGAGCAGCTAGGATCCTATACGTGCATAACAATTAATGGTAGAACGAATAAAACCCAATTGATTGTAACCTTGGTCTGCCTAAAAATATTTTACCATGCATCGTCTACGTAATCTTTTTTTTAACAGGTTGTCACCTTACCTTGTGTCCAATATAACAACAGTACTAGGGGGACATGTGCCGATGAGTAAATAGAAACTGGTGGAGGAAATAAGTAACATGGATTTTTTTAGTTTTGAATTTAGTCCTTTAAAACGAAGGTCTATTTAATGACTTCGGATAGGTGTGAAAGGCGGCAATCATCAATGAAGGGATATTAGAGAATGGTTTCAGCTGTTGTTCTGTTTTCCACTCAATTTGAAGTGAGTTTGCCATCATTTTTCTGGGCTTGAATGGTTTTTCCCGATCAGCAGAGAGAAAGTGGTGCAAATCAGTCATCAACGTTGACTCAGGGCAACTGCTGCTCTCAATCCGTTTTGAGCCGGGGAAAAAGTAATGCTACCAGAAGAACCTCAAGGGTTCTTTCGTTTTTTTAATTAAGGGAGAGAAAGGTTCTTATTTTACTGCAAAATGAAATTGCACTGGCTGACTGTTCGCAGGTTTTGGCTGGGATTCAATCGGATAGCTTTGCCTCTGTTGTGAAAAATCACGCTTCTAGAACTGGAAAATCAAAACTGAATATAACTCTCCTTCTGACTGAGAAACGTGATGATCTTTTAATGTTTAAAAGTGGTGGTTTTAATTTCCAAAATGCATACCATTTGTTTTCGTAACTTTATCCACTCATCAGGTATGCGCATCCGATCATCTTGTGTTCAATCAACTCTGTGGGATACAAGAGACGTTTGCCTTGCGTTGTTTGCATCGAAACCAAAAGAATATCTTGGCAGATACATACTGAATAAGCGTAACAGACAAGCGACTTATGATGAGTAGAACTGGTTGTGCGCTTCTGGGAAATTTCTTTGATTTATTCACATGCCACTTATTTTACAAACACTGAAATTCGACCTGGTTTTGATTCTGATGAGAGTTGACGTACATAATCCATATACCCTAAAGCAGGAGGATCACCATGGTTATATTAATTCGGCTTGTTTCCAAATGAATTGACGAGATATAAATGAAATTGGTTTCACTTAAATATGTATATATATACCTTATCTTATGAGTTACTAAGGTCCCCCTATCCAACAGAAATAAAAGTACACTCCTAAAATTTAACCAGCTTACCAATGAGATGTACTTAAATTACGTACAAGGGATTATGGCCTGCTTTATCACCGCTTCTTCTGGTTAACTTTACGAGTTGGGAAAATGCCTCACCTGTAGATACACGTTGTGTTATAATTGCTGTATCCACTTTCGGGTTGTAAAATTGAGCATTGAACCAAACGACATAACTTCCTGCAAGTAGAACAGCCTACATTTCGATGAAAAAGTCTCCACACTCCAACCGTCTCGGGAGGAGATCCGAGCGTTTAGGATTCTGTCTTCGCAAGATGGAATTCATCGGAATTCAGAGCGTGCAGATAGATGGGAACAAAACATGCTAATCAGGTGTACAAAGATTGTTTAGGGCCTGAAAGGAACGTTTTCAACGAGTTTACGTAAGAAAATATGTGAGTAGCAGAAAGAACCTCTTCTCACTCTAAGCTCTAAAATCGCAAACCCGGTAGTAAGTCTAATCTAAAGATTATTGAAGGCGATTTTTGTCTCCGTATAAAGGGCATCCAGTTTGCATTGGTTTTTTCCGTTTTAACAGTCACAGTAACGGAAAGTTCGAACCGGCGATTTTACACCAGGGCATTTTCTCCTTCCAAGCAGAACCGGAATCAAAAGTTAGAGTAGTATTAGCATTGCATGCCCATAAGCAGCGGGTAAGTAAGAGTACTCAATTTGGCACAAAGCCACAACTACTCCTCCTGCTTGCAAACTCCGAAGATTCAGACTTCCACATATTTTTTTCTATGGTGAGCCCGTACACGATGTTCTTGTTAGCTTTATTCTCTCCAGATTTGATTCGAATCACTAGCTTAAATTTAACGCACAATCATTCAACTCCGACGCATAGATAACTCTTTCAAATACGTTTTCATTCGGTTTTCCACCTGTGCTTAAATAAATTGTTTCAGACTGTTGCTAGGCACCTAACAACTAACCTTTACTCAGCCTGAAAAACTATCAGATATTTTATGCATAAATCGTAACTGGACAGAAACATCTCACGGATTCCTTCATTGATTTTTAAACTTCATTGTGACCAAATCGGGACAAGTGACCATAGCTGCTTTTCAAAGTTCTGTCCAAACAAATGTGAGCACACAGCAGAATATAGACGTACGCTAGCTTACGTGCTTGTACTCATTGAATCCCCCCGCCCCTAATCAACTATTCCATACTGGGCGAACATGTGTGCCTGAATACCTGATTGGTTGATCGATTACTGCATGAAATCAAATCCTGGTGAACATATGATCACATTAGGAACTCAAGTATGCACTGGTTTCCGGACCAACTGAGGCAATGGATTACGATCCCCAAGTCCTTTACTTTCTGTGGTTATTTATTCGCATGCTGATTGGTGAACAATGACCTGAATAGGGACTAAACCAGTCCACTAACTAAATCCAACCTGGTCTAAATACACTCAACCGATATCAATAGCGCCAATATTGTTTCCTTAGAGGCTACGCTCAATAGACGCATATGACCAATGGAAGCAGAAACAAAAACTATACACAATTATGAAGACTGCTTTTTTGTTTTCAATTTGACAGCCCCTGTCCACGGAAGTATGCTTGTCCTGTTTTCTGTTTGAAACTATGTGCGTGTAAGTGATAGCTTATTTGTGCTCATTGGGAAACAAAATCCGGATCGGCTGGATATTCCATTCCTGTGCAGATTTGAGAATGTCCAATTTCTGTCCTGTACATGCCGCATCAAGCAGATGAACGGAAAACAGAGTAAACCAGATTGCGCCATGACCCCGATGCGCGCATCAATGATTGACGCCCCCGTCAGAGTCACACATCGTAGAATGTATCCTTCCAAAACCGTACAACGTCATCCACCTTGGGCAACGGATAATGGTTACGAGACCCCTCGTGCAAACCAGTGCTCCAACGATGAAGGCAAACCAAGTATGGTGGTTAGACCAGAGAAAACCTCGTCCGTTCTAACACAGAACACCGCTCAACCAAATGGGATTCGACCGAACGGTGTCCTGGAAGTCGCAAGGCGTGTGATTGCCGTTTACAGTCCGGTTGCTCAACCACCCGTCACACGTGAAAGCACTTGTGCCGAAACTCAAACAGATTCGATTGTTGTGGAAAAAAGTACCGAACAGAAATGCACGCGGAACAACACAGGACGCATGGGCTTTGCAGTAATCCCTGCTATCTCATACGCTCCTAGATACGATGCTCGATTCGTTTCTGTGCGACGAAAATGGTCTAATGATTTGACGAAAGCAACCGGAATAAAGACACGTCCGCCCTTCTACCCACCCGGACCAACAACAACGGCAGCTGCATGGCGTGAGTTCG